GCAGGAAAACTGTGAGGAGCGAGAAGATGGGCAAACGCTGTTTGACCCATGAAAAACCTATCATGATTTATGTCTAGTGTCTTATGTCTCACAAGCTTGAAGACGTACAGGTGAAAACCAACAAGTTGGCAGAAGAGGCAGCGAAACCGGGTCTTCAAGTGAGTGTAGAGAAGACAGAAATGATGAAGATACCCAACCAACTACAACAAGCACCAATCACAACGAATGGGACGAGTCTGAAGGAAGTTGTCTCCTACACCTCCCTATCTACCTACCCAGTCAGTATCGTCTCAACTACAGGCGGTGGCACAGATGAGGATATCAAAGCCAGGATAGGAAAGACAGCAAGACAGAACTTCATTAATCTGAAATCAGTGTGGAGGTCTACTGCACTGCACTGCACTCAGCATAAACAACAAGTTCCGGATTAATTAAGTTAAGTCAATGCTTCTGTATGGTTCAGAAACTTGGCGCGTTATGGAAAGTATTTCCGGCAAACTGCAGACATACATCAACAGCTGCCGCCTACACTCGCTCCATACTGAAGATCAGATGAGAAGGCAAGGAAGAATGAGCATGGAAGAATTATGGCCTGGCATTGCCCAACAAATATGTAGAAGGAGAAAGTGGAGATAAATTGGATTGGACATAGACTGAGAAGATGGTTTGAGGACGTCATATGCCAGGCTAGGCCTTCGAGTGGAACTCAAATGGGAAACAGTAAGTTGAGCGTCCGAGGATGACATGGAGGAGATGGTATGAAGAAGAAATGTGAGCTTACCGGCAGTCGTGGAGCCAGATTAAGAAGGCTGGAGAGAAAAGAGTGAAATGGTGACGTGCTACTGAAGCCCTATGTTCTACTAAGAACCCAAAGGACAAACAGTACGACATATGGCAGAGAAGTATGTCTTTAGTGTTTTCATATCGGATGTTTTCAAAATAAACGGTACAGGATATGAATTTTCACTGTGAATCACCATGAAAACTTAAATACTCGATTTACACAAAGTGATCTGATTGATATTATAAATGCTGTCAAAGTTGAGGGCATGAAGTATAATACTGACTGACATGCCTATTTGTAGAACGGCTGCAACAACCATTACTGCCCGAAGACTCTACCAGGGCGATCTAAACAACGGATAGCTGCTCTGTTAGGTTGGGATGCATATAATCAATAGTGCATCAGGATTTATCTAGCTCAGAGAGTTAAATTGTTCAAACGATTGGAACATTTCGTGCAGCTTTCATGCTCGTAATCTTCTTGACATTTAAGATGTTGAGTAGATCACATTATGTGATCTGAATATTTTAAGCCTTTATATAAAATAACCGTGAGATTTCTAGACGCCGATTGATTTTTTTGCAAGCACCTGATTTAAATCTCGGTATGAGTAGTCTACTTAAGTAAGTGACTCGAATTCAGGTGGTCTGAATAACTTGGTTCTCTGAGGTGAATCAGTCACGGTACACGGAGAGTGAATTCGGGTCCCAGACAAGCGCAAAAGCAGTTTTTTTGCTTATGTCACATTGACATGGTTAAGGAGTACTGCTGATTGGTGCGGGTGATCTGAAACCACTTATCTCAGTCAGTAGTATATTTTGTGTAGCTTTACAGCATTCTCTTGTTTTTCCAGGAATCTAATTATTTTCTACGTATTGTGGTCATAGTGAATACCTCGTCCGTGTTGACATTTGACGTATATATGGTGTTCATGCTTCGTTAGACTGTATCCGTTAACTCCACCGCAAAGCGACATATCATTACACTATACACTATCAGTTACCGAAACGCTGATAATATAGATGACTGATAATTGGTTGTACTTGTTAAATAGCATTATCTACCTTCGTGTTTTAAAAATTCCTGGAATTCACCAAGAAAAAATCAATTAACTGAAAAATAAGTGACAAACGATAGACATTTTAGTTTACCTTGCATACGATTATAGAAGCTGTACATTTATATAGGAACAAATATTTCCATCCATGGAGACTATTTTAGTAGTACTGCAGTGCATACGATTAAAATAAGCTGAAAGATGAAAGAAATTATAAGAAGCATGAAATCAGCTTACTTATAGCTGGAATAAGTCACTACACTGATTGTTATTTGACTATCTAAGATAGCCGTAGTTTGGTAGACTATTATTTGCACTGGGTGATGATTGAAAGTGGTCACTGGTTCAAATCCGGCCGCTGTCAAGATTTTCATCTCAACTTCAATCATCACACAGTACAAACACTACACTGATGTTTAATGGAATAATTATTGAAATAATTTTAAAAGTTCATTCATATTGATCATAGCCTTTCAGCTATATTTGTTATGTCCTTACTAAGTTGTAACTTAGCACAGTGGCAGACTTTATTTGATATTGAGTGCTCAAAAGCAGTTAACACCAGGTCGTAACCCAAAGTTTAGCTCCTTATTTTACTCACGGAGTGAATATCTCTAAGGTGTGTCTGCAGCTGTAATATGTCTTATGTCTTATGAACTGAATCTTGGGGCAAACCAAGTTGCACTTTAGGATGAAACTGTGCGATGGCACTGGATGAAGATAGCACTTCTGGCGAAATCTTGAGTGCACACTGCTGAGATGTCTCACACTAGGACGAAACAGCTATCTAGTGCTCTCAGGCTGGTTAATTTTGTCTGTATTACGCCCATGAATTTGAACTGTGTCATTTCAGTCATAGCATAAACAGACCTTAGGTCTTTGACAGAAACACATATGTATTGTACTTTTGACTGATCTCATACATTGCACAAAGAGTTCGACAAAGCTGAATAATTAATGGTTCACGTTAAGTTTATGTACTTGACCTCCGATGATGAATTCAATTCGTAAATATACGTCTGTAATATCAAACTGCTTAAGAAATTACTGGAAAAGTTAATGGGATTATGTGATATGTTTTGTGAAAGTCGGATTTCTACCGTTAACTCTAGGGGATTCTCATCCCTCAAAAAAGCTGCCAACATTCTTCACTACGGTGCAGACATGGATATTTGCACTGAAATAGTGGAGAATATTCGTAGCTCAGGTGGATGGTCTTGGTTGCATTGTGTTCTCTGAACTGGGTTGTTTAATCGTGAAGATTTCATCGTCCTTCTAGACGACATCATCAACACTAACTTCAGTATGAAGTCAGCTGTCAATATTTCTCCATCACTGATTCACTGGCTTGTTCTGACAATGTGGTCTGTGATTGCTTGTCTCCTTCGATCGTTGTGTCATTAACTGACTGCATAGATTTTCCTGCTGGCTGCTCCACTAATTGACCTCTCACCTTTCTGTCCCTCATCATTTTTCTCATTGCTTGATAGACTAGGTATATGTCTACACATCTATTGATTGCTGACTGACTGACTGACTGATCTGAATGCCAAGCTTCTAGAAATTCTCTCATATTCGTTGTTTCCTTTGTCCGAAATTTCTATAGTGGAAATTGAATTCATGTCCATAGTTGATATCCACATGCATTGAACTGAGTGATGAAATGTCCTGTGTGCTGCTTAATAGCCAATTGATGTTCATGTAGATGAAGGTTAAGTGGGTGACCACTTTCTCCAATGTAGTGTTGACTGAAGTTATTCCAGTTGATTGTGTAAATGATATTCGGATTCGGATTCGTAATGTGGATAACACTTTTGTCATCATTGAAAATGATCATGTGGAAAACACTCACAGTTTGATCAGTAACGTTTTCAGTGACATCAAATTCACAATGAAGAAAGAGTCAAACAACCAACTACCATTCCTGGATGTTATAGTCAGTAGGACAAATGGTGGAAAGATGGAAACCCAAGTGTACAGGAAGCCAACAAACACCGACTGGTCAAATCCTCAACTACAATAGCAACAATCCAACAACACACAAAATCAGTTGCTTGCAGACTCTATTGAGAAGGGCGAGAACACTGCACAGCAGTACAACAACTTCACGGAGAACTGAAGAAAATTATCTGATGTTCGTCCATCTGAAAGAAGAACGGCTACCCAACAAACTTTATCACAAGATGCCTATCCCGTACATCATCAACTACAAAGTCATCGACAAAAATCAACAAACGCATCATCCCACCGTACATGAAGAATCTATCAGAAATCACGACAAGATTACTGAGACCACTTGGAATTGGTGTGGCTGATAAACCAACAAATTCCCTCTAAACACTATTATGCAGACCAAACAGTGCAACAAGCAAAGAAGACAAACCGAATATCATTTACACAATCAACTGGAATAACTTCAGTCAACACTACATTGGAGAAAGTGGTCACCCACTTAACCTTCATCTACATGAACATCAATTGGCTATTAAGCAGCACACAGAACATTTCATCACTCAGTTCAATGCATGTGGATATCAACTATGGACATGAATTCAATTTCCACTATAGAAATTTCGGACAAAGGAAACAACGAATATGAGAGAATTTCTAGAAGCTTGGCATTCAGATCAGTCAGTCAGTCAGTCAGCAATCAATAGATGTGTAGACATATACCTAGTCTATCAAGCAATGAGAAAAATGATGAGGGACAGAAAGGTGAGAGGTCAATTAGTGGAGCAGCCAGCAGGAAAATCTATGCAGTCAGTTAATGACACAACGATCGAAGGAGACAAGCAATCACAGACCACATTGTCAGAACAAGCCAGTGAATCAGTGATGGAGAAATATTGGTGATGATGTCGTCTAGAAATAAGATGAATTCTTCATGATTAAACAACCCAGTTCAGAGAACACAGCCTAACCGAAATAGGTATTTGATTTGAACATAGTGAAACGCCTTCTGTTTTAGCGAATTACTTATTGAGACCATCGGTAATAGTTGAATTTATGGAGATATGCATATACAGTCAATACTCTGAAGAGCGGTGTACCAGAAATTGCTTTTTGTCAGAAATTTCATCCTCTGTAATCCCAGTGGTACTAAGGGTCTGTTGCAGTTTTATTTCTCACCTCTTCCAAAATATTTTTATGTTTTAATGTTTAATTAATATTTAAGATACGTCTTAAAAATTCTTCTGGGCTCTAACAAAGTCTTCAGTAAACAGTACATACTAGAAATTATGCAGTAAATCAAAATACTATTAGACAATGAATAAGTTATATTATTTTTTTTGAAAACCTACATTTATTTGAAAGATTAGTTATTCATGAATTGAAAATTAAGCACTTATATGAAAAATGAAATTTGATTAATTAAAACAATAGTTGTACTAACTAAGTTTTTATGGCTTACTTGAAAAACAACCAAAACTATTGTTATGTAACAGACTATATCCAAGTATTTAAAGACAAAACCCTCAAATTTCTCTTCACACCCATATTGAATATAACTATTATCTCCAGTGAATTTGGTTGGACAATGATTGTCTTCAAGATAAAACTTGTCTGTCATTTTACAGCATGGTATAGGATACTTTAAATCTGTAGTAGTAATAAAGGTGAACATAAATTTTCTTGTAAATACTTTTATTCAAAACGGTGTAGTTATATATTAGCTATAAAGTGTTACTTAATTGATTTTAGAAGCTACATCAAGATGTCATCTGAAAATACAAAATAGATACATACGGATAAGAGAAGAAAACTTGCTCATTTCATACAGATGGTTGTTCTATGAGATTCTATTTTCAAGAAATCTCCACTTCAGTGTGAAATAATTATAAACATGAACCAGACAAAAAGGATAGAGGAATGCTAAGAACGCTGCTTCTGTACAGTATTAGCTACAAACTAAAAGATGTTTTTCAGATGATGACTAGCAATTCTATTGATGATTGTTAGGGGCCATAGGTGTACACTGGTGAGGGGGGATCTTATAGTATGACAAAACAATTGTCCGGTGTTCTAAGGTTTTCAGTGGTTTTCTATCTAATCCCAATCCATGATAAAAACTACTTTGATGCATAACATAATCTGTAATATGACATATGGTTTACTTCGGCAATCTGCTGTTAGCGCCTGAGCCAATCAGAATAACTAACGTTTTCTCAGACAAGATGATCACCTATACAACTTAAGAGTTTTTGATTTGGTTACCAATATTTGTGATACACTTTGGCCAAAGATAGAGACCATGTGGTTTTATGCATTCCTCTTTGTTCTATGCTCATCATAAATCTCTATTATATTGGAAAGGCTACAAAATTTCATCAGTAAACTTCATTCTTTTCAGTGATCCCCAGTGATCAGATAATTTTTTCGGAAGTCGATAAAGTTAGCGAAGTATTACTACTTTGACAGAAACTTTGAGACATTAGATAACCTAAAACATTGCCCTTTTTTATGATGACAATTGATCTTTGTAATGGGTGTTTACCGAAATCATAACGGTGAACGTTATTCCCTGATAACATATCATTCGGTTGTTAAGGTTAGCAGTTAGATCATGTGAATGTTTTTGAAGACTACCAAGTACTTGGGATGAAGATAGACGACGGAAGTGTCATTGTTGTTTTGGGCTTGACACATTTTCAGGTTACCTTTGAAAATAGCCATCCAATGTGCCACATTAGCCAGTAAAAAAGATAAGACTATCCAGGGAATCAAGGAAGCAGACAATTGACGAAACCTTCCCATGTTATGAGAAACAGGGAAAGATTTCCCCACCGTTTGGTTTATTTGTTGTCATAAAAGCGTATTTGTAGGAAAGTGGTTCAACAAGTGTTGATCCCGGTGAAGTATTGGTGGGACAACAACATTCTTATTTGTTTACAAAGTAAGCTGATTGTATGGAAAGTGTTGTGACTGTTTTTAAATATGAAAAACTTCCTGAAACTCTTTGTCACGATGAGACTATGAAAGAATATTAAGAAGTTTTACTCTTCTTCCCGAATGATATTTCTATGTGATAGAATGTTTGACTACCTGAAACAACAGGCTGGTATTCATTGAGGACTCATATCAATCAGAGAACCATTGGAAACCTGGAAGCATTGCATGTCTATTCTGTCGTACTGCTACTTCATACCAGTGTGCACCAATGACCCCCATGGGGATCGAACCTGTGACAGTCAGGTTTTAGGGCGAATATGTCCTCATTGAGCTAATGAGATGGAATTCAGTAGTCCATCGCTTCCCGTTTGTGCCAGTTTAGGATATACCGTGACCTTCATCCATTGCCATCATTGAGTACTTGTCCTCATGTCCTCATATCATAAAGTCTTGAATGTCATAGATTCATCCTGTCTAGGCAACTATACGTGTATTTCCTTGATCACTTGTTCATTTTCCTACTCGGTCATACGTTCATTCTGTGTTACATAATTATATTTAATTTTATAATCCCTTGTCTGTTTTTCCATTCTAAACCAAAATATGTATTGATTAACTGCCTTTAGTTATGCAATATATTTTACCCCTAACCGGAAATAATTCTGGAACGTTCTACCCACTGTAACATACATTCATGAATGTACCGCTTAGTAAATGTCTTCGTCGAAAAGAAAAAAATTCCCCGTTGCAACCACGTCTTGTCAAATGGGTGTATTCCGCTGTTGAAAAGAAATTATTAAAAACTAGAGATCTGTGAATACCTCTTTAGTATCAGTTCAAAATTCAGTAGAATTCCCAGAAGTTAACTACCTGAAAAGTAATCAAACAGGGATCGAAGTCTTACAGGATCTAAGACGTTAGCTATACTGGTGTTGCAGATGGACATTTACTAACGATACCGGATAGTGATCAGTAAAAGCCGGAAAATATGACCAAGTGGATGAAATTCAACTTTTTGACTATGATAAATGATTTTTCTTCCAAACCCTTAGAACCTAAGGATGGATGTCATATAAAGCTATGAATGAGCACTATTAGGTTTCAGTGATGGTATAACAGAGCCATTTTGTGATCTCCACCTTCCAGTTATTCTTCAGCTGGTTTCAAATGGCAAAACTACCCTTCAGTGAATAAATTTTCCACAAAAAAATGTTTTCATTACTCTACACTTATCAGTCCAACATACAACTAACATAAAGTTCCCTAAGCCATTACGAAAGACATAACTTTATCTAAAGTTGTGTAAACAAAGCTTGTTTCATTCAAATTTCTATGCATTTATGGATGGTGATAGTTTACATAAAATTTGCAGGATGGATTTATTATTATATCATTATTATTAGTCCCTTGGGTTCCTAATGGAACATACGGCTTCACTAGCACGTCTCCATTCTACTCTGCTCTCTGAAATCTTCTGAATCTGGCTCCACCACAGCCCACAACCTCTCAATTCCTCCTGGCACGATCTCCTCCATGTCACCCTCAACTCGGACACCCAACTCGTCGCTTCCCATCTAGGTTCCACTCGAGTGTCTGGCCTGATGCGTGATGTCCCCAGTCGGCTTTCACGGTGTATGCCCAATCCATTTCCACTTCCTCCTGCATATTTGTTGGTTGACAGGTTCTTGCTTCGTTGGTTCGTTCCCAGAGCTCCTTGTTGCTTATTCTCATTATTCTGGCCATCTCATCTGATCTTCAGTAGCGAGCCAGTGTAAGCAGTTGTTGATGAATGTCTGTAGTCTATTGGAAATCCCTTTCATAACGCATCAAGTCTCTGAACCATATAGAAGCACTGACTTGACTGGCATTGGTGTTGAAAATCCGGATGTTGTTCCACATGCTGAGTGCAGTGGAGTAGATCTCCACACTGGTTTCAGGCTAATGAACGCCTGTCTTGCTTTTCCGATCCTGGCTGACTTTGACATCCTCGTCTGTGCCTGTGCCGCCTGTAGTTAAATACAGTGCTGTCTAGATAGGTGAAGGAGGTTACTTCCTTTAAGTTTCTCCCGTTGACGGTGATTGGAGTTTGTTGTTTTTGTTGTTGAAGTTGTTGGTTGGTTGGGTATCTTCATCACTTCTGTCTTCTCTATATTCACTTGAAGTCCCGTCTTCGCTGCCCTGCCCTGCCTCTTCTCTCAACTTGTTAGTTTTCGCCTGTAGATCCAGTCGATCACTACCAGGAATATCATGGGTGATAGTAGGCAACCTTGTTTAACTCCTGTCTTCACTTCACTTCACAGGCATCACTGAGCTTCCCATTGTGAATCACTTGGTATGTGGTGTCTTCATATATTTGTTGAATGAGGCTGATGAAGGTTTGCGGTAGTAGTAGTATTGAAGTAGTTTCCAAATTACCTCTCTGTCGACGCTTTCAAAGACATTCTCAAAGTCGATGAAGTTGAGGTTTAGAGTAGGATGGATTAGGCCTGTATTATTTATTCTGTGAGTTCTCTTCAAGTGAAAACACTTAGTATGAGATAAAATTCGATAGACAACAAGGTAGCCATTCAAATTTGGAAATATTGATACAATAGGCAAAAAAATCAGTTGAAGACTGTTAACAATAGAAATAATTGTGGTAAACTGTTTATTCAGGGGTAGTTCGAAGGAAGATCCCAGAATTCTAACAGTCAATATTAGAAATGGTAACCATAGTGATATAGTCTCTATCATAATACTAGTTACAATATTAGTTATACTGTTATCATAATAAAAGCAGATTTAAAATAAAAGGTGGGATAAGTGAAGAATTCTTTCTTTTCAATTATATCTTCATCACCAGCGCTACATTAATAAAAAAGGTTCAACATTTAATAGCATAGCGACATTTAGAGATGGTTGGTTAATAAGTTTAAAGTTATTCTCGTAGCTAATAGTTAGTGAAACAATTTACTATGTGAGATCATTAGAAGTTTGAAATAATTAGATTGTTGAATCACCGAATGAATAACAATTAACGTGAAAATTGAATAACCCAGGGCAAGTAGACACTTTTTATCGTTCTAGAACACAGAAGTTAGGTTTAACGCGTTTTTAAATTACTTTGGATTCTATATAATGAAGTTACATGGTTTTGTTTCTTCAAATTATTACTTCAAAGGCTACGCTGTCCTGAATCGACTAAATGGTATGTGGTTAAAACTGTGAACGATTAGAAACTGTCCAATTGAAGGTTCATTGGAACATCAAGATTTTTAAGATTTTGAAAACCACTTCTTGTATTAGCATATTTTGTTAAGCTTCCTTCATGCCATTACTATATGCGTACTCAAACCTTGTTAGTCCGGTGCCTTCAGCCTCTAGCATTATACAACCTCAGTGTTATTTCCAAAGCTTTGGCAACTATTCACATTATCGTGCTATTCTGAGTTTTCCTATTCTCAGATGTATCGTCAGTATTGTTGGCTTATCTAAATTGTGTAATCCGCGAAGTTGTTGTCGCTGAGTGGAAAAATATTCAAACTAGCTTATGCATAAAGCTTTTTATACAAGAGTAAAGTCTGAGTTTTATGTTTTATCTGTGCCTGAAGTTTCTTTAGCAGTTGGATTGTTTTTACGTGGTGTGCTTCTATATGGTTCAGAGACTTGGCCCCCTACGAAAAGGCATTTCAAATAAACTACAGACATTCATCAACAACTGCCCAAGCTGACTCGTTACTGAACATCAGATGGTCAGAAAGAATAAACAACTAAGAACTCTGGCTGGCTGGCTGGCTGGCAACGAACCAACAAAGCAAGAAGCTATCACTCAACAAATGTGTATTGGAAGAAAGTGGAGATGGATTGGTCATGCAGTGAGAATATTGATGGGGGACATCACGTGCCAGTTCAGGCACTCGATTGGAACCTAGATGGGAGACGGTGAATTGGTTGTCCTAGGTGAGGATGACATGGAGGAGATTGTGTGATGAAGGAATGAGAGCTTGTGAGTAGTTGTGGAGTGAGGTTTAAAAGATTGGAGAGAAGAGAGTGTAATGGAGATGTGCTACTGAATGTGTATGTTCCACGTGGAACTCAAGGGATAAATAATAATAATAAAGGCCTGAGTTTTACTTCAAAGCAGGACAGTTAGTCAAAATGTCTAGTATTTCAAGATAATTAAGTATCAGAATATTCATAGAAATGTGATATTAAAACTACTTATATAGTGCAACTTACTGGCAAATAATGTACGATCGTATACATCACGTTTTGAGAAATGTCCGGATTTTTTGAAATCCTCACCATTAGTATATCCACAACATTTCAGCTTGAATAACGAAGAATAAAAAAAATTAGACAACGGTTTGAAAAATAATATTCTGTTTCTCAAAAATAATCTAGTTTTCTTGATGTCAGTTAACAGTGAGGCTCATATACCAACAGAAGATTATCAACTAGATTGGGATAACAAAGGGTAAGTACAAGTATAAGTAAATAATAAATGATCCTCTTTGCATATAAAGTGACTCTGATGACTCAGTAGCCTATCGGATAATGTTCTAGTATTTAAAGCGATTCACACTGAGAACATCATCAATTACTGGGATGAGGATTAAGTCCCAAATAGGATGAAACGTTTGTCTATGAATCTTACTGCTAATGGACATCAAGCAAATTATCATAAATTGAATCTTCAGGGTAATATTGAAGCATCTACACAAAGGCACATATGCCAACAAAGATCGATCATTTCGATCCGGTATAAAAAAAGAAACTACAATTATCAATAAATAGCAATTTAGTTTATATTTTTCAAGTACTTTTTCCAACATATACCTAGTGGCTATATCATGATTGGTTAAAGGAATCATAAGGTGGACATGTTATTCAAGGGCACTGTTAGTGATAAGTTTTGTAATTCAACAAAATGAGACTTTTGTGAAATAGGAAGAATGTAGTGATTACATTAGAGCATTTTTCTTGTGACATCCAATCATTTTTGTGTGTATGACTGTCATTGCTTAGAAACACTACTGAAGAATAAACCACATTGACCTTATTTATTAGAACAGACAGAATAAAACACAGAGATCATATCAAACCTTTTTTAGATACTTTAATGAAACTAGGTGTTGATTGAAGATGAAATGAAAATCAGAGTCACGGTAGGATTCGAACTACCGTCCTTCGGGTAACCAACCCGACTTTATACCAACTGAACTAGGAGACCAAGGTGTTAATCAGATCTTAATTTCATTTCGCTGCGAACCTATCTCGCACATTACATCTTTTCTGTTACATCTGATTAGCTGATTGGTTATTAAAACCAATACGTTATGGAGAATTTTTATTGGCTAAATTACGTTTAAAAGAACTACATTGACGTGAGAGATAAGCCAAGATTATAAAAGCTGTTGCAAACTTGTGTTCATCCTTCTGTACTCCATATCCTATAGAGCATAGATGAAAATTTGAATGCCTTGCTAAGCTTCATGGTGAATATAGATCTAATTATGCATAGATACATGAGTATTATTCAGTCGTGTCACAATACTGACTTGTCCCACAAGATCTATTCTGAGATAAGACCTGAAACGTTACAGTCTTGACAATATTCTACCTATCGGTGCACCAACTCTCATCTGAATGATAAGTGGCTTTTATCATGAATTGACAGTTAAAAATCTGGCAGCTCTGTGGAGCTGTTTCGTCCAATTTTCTGACTCATCAGTTCGGTATTATCAAGTCTCATGGCAAGCATGCCACCACCCACTTAGCAGATTATAATTCAACAGAACACATTTTCCCATTTCTGTCGATTCACGACATAGCGTAACCATCCTCTGATGTCATCAGTGGGAATCCATCTCAATTATTACATGGTTGGCACCCAAAAGTCATAACTTCTTATTATAATTTTGAGAAATTGATCCTTACGCAAGTAAGTATCTAATGAGGACTATCAAGTCGATAAATCCCTAAAAACTAACAACTAAGATAATATAATGATAAGAGATGTTGTGGAAACATATTAGTTATAAACCACAATATTGTATCTGACGACAGCACTTAATTTCACTAACAAAAACAGATTCATCAAAAGAAAAGCTTGTAACGAGTGACAAATCGGTTGTATGAGTATTAAAGTAATCAATTATGTACCACCCTAACATGAGAAGGCATCTAGTGGCCAATCGTAAATCATTCTGCGTGACTATAACTTCATTTCTACTGAAATATCAGGGCATTTTGACCATTATTTCGACTCCGTATAATCTATGAGGCGATTCAGACTCCTTAAGGTGGTTATATAAAGTGATGAGACATACTGTTGAGTAACTTGATCCTGCAGGGGATGAGTAACACCTGAGGACGATATCTTCTGTCTCACTACAATTTTCGAGGAACAACAAGTAAATCGACGTAATACTACTGATATTCATCAGAATAAGTAGTCTGTTGAATTTCCTTGACAGAATATTGAAATAAATGAAATCAGCAATCAGATTGATAGTTAATTCACTCTTTGTAAGTGATATTGTCCTGAACAGTCAAAATAAAGGTAGGAGGTATTTTCAAATAGATTGAAGGTTAAACTTACAACGGGCATTATAATTCCAAGGAATAAACTACTGTCTTCTTCACTTTCCAGTGATACATAATTATGTACAGCGTTTGCTAAATGTTCTTTTATCAATTTTCTAGGCTAAAAGAAAAGATCGGTTAGCAATATTTCACTAGATAAGTTTTAAAGTTAATTTTCTCAGTCTTTTTCTTCTTGGTTTGTGTCTAACTATAATGCATATGAGGGTGTTTAGTAGGCGAAGCTTGTAACATCGTACTACTTCATAGGGATGTGAAGTGTTTGAAGTTTTCATCAAGAGTCCATTGTATGAGATATATATAAGTTAATATGCTTAAGAAAGGTAATAAAGCTGACGATACATGGCTTAACAACTTTGTTATTTTAAAATCCTATGAATGTAGTTCAATTTTTTACCCTTAAATATCAATGAATTCGCCGAATGGTTGTGGATATTTGATCAAAAGCTGCATATTTACTTTTCATGGTCATTGGGATTTGTTATCAGGATATATCTGTAATTTTATTAACCTCATCTTGTATCCTCTCTAAAAGCAGTCATAAACATTTACATAGCACCATTCAAGTGGTAACAAGTGTCGAGATCTATTGCACTCAGCATAAAGAACAAGATCTGGATTTTCAACATTAATGTCAAGTCAGTGCTGCTATGTGATTATTCAAAAACTTGGCGCGTTATGCAAAGAATTTCCAACAAACTACAGACATTCATCAACAACTGCCCAAGCTGACTCGTTACTCAAAATCAGATGGTCAGAAAGAATAAACAACTAAGAACTCTGGCTGGCTGGCTGGCTGGCTGGCTGGCTGGCTGGCTGGCTGGCTGGCTGGCTGGCTGGCTGGCTGGCTGGCTGGCTGGCTGGCTGGCTGGCTGGCTGGCTGGCTGGCTGGCTGGCTGGCTGGCTGGCTGGCTGGCTGGCTGGCAACGAACCAACAAAGCAAGAAGCTATCACTCAACAAATGTGCACTGGGAGAAAGTGGAGATGGATTGGTCATGCAGTGAGAATATTGATGGGGGACATGACGTGCCAGTTCAGGCACTCGAGTGGAACTCAGATGGGAGACGGCGAGTTGGTTGTCCTAGGTGAGGATGACACGGAGGAGATTTTGTGATGAAGGAATGAGAGCTTGTGAGAAGTTGTGTAGTGAGGTTCAAACGATTTGAGAGAAGAGGGTGTAATGGAGATATGCTACTGAATGTGTGTGTTCCATTAGGAACCCAAGGGACAAATAATAATAACAACACCCGATGGGCACTAAATCAAACGACCTCATCGATCAGTGAGAAATAACTTTTGGTAGTTTGGCTAGTTATATAGGATTACTGTCATTAACCCTATAAAACACCAATTACAAGTAATACAGTTACGTTTTAAAATATCAATCGAATTTCATTAAATATGAGTAGTGAATAGAGTGGTTTTTGTTTCTCGTCAGTGTTGGATTATTGTATATAAAAGTATCTCCATAAAAGAAGTAAAAGTACTTCCTAAAAATGACTCGTTTTAAAAATCTAATCCTTGTAAAATTCGTTGATCCACTTTTTTTATATCCAAAGTTTATTTTTGTATCTATAGTGAAAAAGAAAATTCATTGACAAAAAAAAGAGAAAAATAGCTCTAGTTATGCTTAGCTAACTTCTTACGTAGAAAAGCAACACCTCATATGTGTATTAGCTAATGCATACTTGTGGGCATAGATAGTTGAAATAAACTACTTAAACATCACACTACTAACTAGGCTATCAGTAACGTGTGTAACCTTAATTGTTCATTGTCATAACATTATCTTTTTCAATGAATCTAGTTGTCATACAATCGAGGTGATAATTCAACCATTCTTTTAATAAATTTAGGATTTTCATCAGCAAGGTAATTTGTTACTAAAGCATTGAACAGTTACACATTCCAGTAATTTCAAAAAGTTCAAAAGCCAGAAATAACTAAAGTTAGCCTGGTGTAGTTAAGGGTTTATTATTATTTATCATTTGGGTTCCTACTGAAATACATGGCTTCGGTAACAGAGCATCATTTCACTCTCTTCTCTTCATTTTCCTTAACCTGGCTCCACGACTGCCAAAAAGCTTCTACTTCCCCTCACACGATCTCCTCCACCTCACTCTCCGACTTTCAACTAGTCGTTCACCCTTTGGGTTCTACTCGAGAGCCTGGCGCTTAATATCTCCAAATGGTCTCCTCAGTGAATGCCCGATCCACCTCCAATTTCTTCTTCTGCATATTTTTTGGGCGATAGCTTTTTGGTAGGTTGGTTCATTACCAGACCAGAATTCCTCCTTGCTTATTCTTTCTCGCCTTCTCATGTGATGTTCAGGATTGGGTGAGCATAGGCTGCAGCTGTTGACGTATGTCTGCAGTTTGCTGGAAATACTTTTCGAATGGCGCCAAGTTTCTGAACTGTATAGAAGCACTGACTAGACTGAATTAGTGTTGAAAATCCGGATGATGTTCCTCTTGCTGAGTGCAGTGCAGTGCAGTAGATCTCCACACTGATTTCAGATTAATGAAGTCCCATCTTGCTGTTTTTCCGTTCTTGGCTTTCACATCCCCATGTGTGCGTCTTTTCTACGTTCATCTGAAGAAAGCCTCATTCTTACTGTCCTGCCTGTTCTGCAAAATTCTTGGAATCTTCAAATTTGTGAGACATTCGACATAAATCGTCGTCGATGAAATCTAAATCTTTTAGGGTCGTTTCATTTGTCAAACAGCGGATGCTCCTCTCTCATTCCTTACAGTTTCCTGCATGATCCAGTCCAGTTGATCATAATCAGGAAGATGATCACTGATGGAAGAGAACCTTGTCTTACCTGTCAACCTGTCTTGAATTCAAATTATCACTGAGCTTTCCACTGTCAATCACATGGCATGTAGCATCATCATCATCATTATCACCATATAGCTGTTGAACGAGGTTGATAAAGGTTTATGGTGCTAAAACCGTAGTGTTGAAGCAGCTGCTTGCCAAATCAATTCTCGGTAGACGCTATCGAAGGCCTTTCCAAAGTGAATGAAGTTGAGGTGAAGTGTTGACTGACATTCTATGCACTATTGTATAATGATGCGTTGCGTAGCGTTGCAATTTGATCCTCACATGATTTGTTTTTCGTGAAGCCAGCCAACCTGTTCTGGTCGTAACTTTGAATCCAGCTCATTTTATAGTCTCTCTATGATAATGTGGCTTAATGTTTTGCTTGGTGTTGACAGGAGCATGATTCCTTTCTAGTTCTTGCGAAGACTTAGGTCTCTCTTATTTGAGTGTTTGACAAGGTAGCCCTTCTTCGAATCCGTAGGTACCTTTGCTTCCTTCCCTCCAAACTCTTTGCAGTAGTGCTGTGGTGGTGTGTCCGCTGATATCTCTAAGTCTGTTTTCAGTGCTTCTGGAGAAGTTCCATCCGGTCCTGCTGCTTTCCCGGATTTCAGCAACTTTATGGCGTTCAAGACTTAACTTCTCCTTTGTCGGAGTGCTTGTGTTCACTGATAGTTGTGTGGCTAGGCTGGTGGTTGTATTTGTGGATGAGTTGCTGGTGGTGACGATGGTGGATTTAAGAGCTTTTTAAAGTAGTCAGTCCATCGTTTCCTTTTTTCTCCTCCTGGGTAACTAAGTTTCCTTCATTATCCTTCATTGGTTTCCTCTTTCGTTGTTTATCCATGCACTGAACTGGTTTATCCTCTGCTTCACCATCTTCCTCTCCTCCATCGGCTTTCATGTATATGTGAAGATCCATTCCTTGTCTTGTTCTCGTCTTTTTCTTTTCTAACACGGTTATACAGGTTTCCTTCCACATCTCTTCCACAGAGTTTCAGTGTTCTTTCACGCAGGTTTCTGGAGGGACGTTGCTTAGTCTCCCATGTTTCCCTGGTGACTGACGACGTAAAGATGTCCATCAGGTGAAATCAAATCCATGTAGCTTTTTGAATATCCTTGTATTTGTACATACTAAAGGGCTTTAGGAAGCTCACAGCAGTTTTTTTTATCCTAAAGTAGACAGGTGTAAATCGATAAGTTGGCAGCCAGCCTAAATTTTGGGCTATCAGAAACTGTTCATTGAATACATTACATCAGATCTCTCCTTCTTAACTAGTTTTAATCAGTCAGATATTAACAGATCATATTGCTTACTTTCGCTCATTTTAAAAAGATCTCCAACCTATCTTTTCACAAGTTAATAACAAATTTACCAGAAAACATCACTTTAGATGACAGTGAGGCATCTGGCGCACAACAGTACAACACATAACTGTTGCAAGACTACTCATCTGAAACTGAAAATTTTCATATAAACAGGATGAGCCTCCGTCACCAAATTTACATCTATCCGTCTCCTGCCCCATGTAACAAGGTACCCATAAACTAGACAATAACCTGGTCGTTGCATCTTATTGCTTATAATACTGTTATTAATAACATTATTTGTATGAAATAATTATTTCATTTGAAAATAATGTACTCCGTCAAAATTTCATGTAGAATAAAGTAATTATTATTGTTATCTCGAATGGGGAGCTCTTGGCTTTCGAACATTGGCTGGTTCTAGGATGTGCCGCAAAGTATTTTAAATTTATCAACTATATTTACTGTGGTATATTGAATCAGTGAACAATATGTAACAAGGTGACGTATACATTAGTATGCCTAGCTTAGGCAGTGGTAAATATAACTGACTTACGATATCTTTCTTTGCAAAATAGAAGACTATACCAGCAATCTGACCAATCACTAATATAGTCAGCATAACTAAATACTGAAAAGAAAAGCAAAAATACGATAATCAAAGGGTAGTAAGTGAATTCTCATTCCATCTATATGTGTTTAGAAAAACAATGGTTTAAAGTCAAAGTACTAAGTCATACTAATATCTATAGAAGGTGGTTTCTGGAGAATAAACTGATTTCAAAGGTAAACCATTGAAAGACTGGTCGCTTGAATAATATCAGTCCTTGAAATCAACCAGTCTCCTTAAATCCAAATCTCGCTAGTGACTTGCTTCAGGATTAATTTCTAGACATTCTTATGGAAACCGTCACCTGTGGAGTTAGCCAAGGTGAATATCAGGAAAAGTGCTCCTTATGTCAATGAACGATATTCCCAGTATGCCACTAAGTGTATAAAAGTGGGAGAATGTGGACTATTGTGTTCTGAGTTATTGGCTGACTGATAATGAGGAGGCTACAAGATTTGAAGGACCTAGATTCAATCCTATATAAGTTAGTGGATATTACTACTAAATAGTCCTAAAATACAATGAAGAATTTACTTGATACTTCCAGCTTTTCAACGGTTCTCTGGCCTACATCATTTCGTGCTACAAAAACATGTTGAAATTATTTCATTTGTTTTGTAAACTTCAGGATCAAAATTTGACCTGATAGAGTTGAATAAGTTCAGCATTGCGTAATTGGATTATAAATGAAGCATATTTACAAAAAGCTCATCAAGGATGAAGATGACAGGCTAACGGAAGTAAGTAATATATCAAGCCTATAATATTCCAATAACTACACTAGAAATGTCATTCAAAAGATCCAAAAACATGAACAGTGGGACCTACGAGGAAATTCAAATGATGATTCTTGTATTAACACAGTAGCTCTAGCATTCCGCCGAGGTACAACCGAAGAGCTACAAAGAATCTTAGGAAAGCACCGAATTACGACCTTTTACAAGACAAGCAACACTCTCAGGAACGTTCTAGTCCACGTAAAAGATAAAGTTCCTTTTACCTCGACACAAAGTTGTGTCTAAAAATTAGGCTGTGTCGACTGTGATGCTTATTATATTGGAGAATCATCCCATGAGATACTCATCGGGTTGAAGAACATGCAAGTTACACAAAGCAATTGCCAAATAATCCTGTAGAACTAGTGAATTTACAAATCCAGTCGGTGATCTCAGTTCATGCTACCTATCACAGTCACAAAATTGATATTGAAAATATTAAAATTATTCAAAAGGGATTTCTAAACTACAAAGAAAGCAGAATAGCAGAGGCATTTCATATTATGTTGAATCCCAATCCACTCAACAGAAAGGAAGGCCTAACTATTCAACCAACCTGGACAGTATTTCCAGAAACAGCATATCATACAAAATGATCTGATCAAAAGTACATACACACAGACAAACTGAATTCGTCATTCGTAGTATTTTTTTAATACACTGTCCCACCCAGTCACGTACGAACATATTCGTATCACCTTGAACTACAGAATACTTGACAGATGAAGACAAATTGTTAACGCTTCCTGACCAGCATAACAACCCCAATTATAGTGATAACAGATAGTGGCTGGCGCTGGAATCCAGTATGCACATTTCGTCTTATTTGGGAGTCGTCCATCATTACTATAGTTAGAACACAAGTAATATAGAGACATCCGCACGGGAGCCCATATGCCAATACAGACCTATCAATTCGATCCAATCAACGATGGTAAAATACAGTCAATGACATGTATGTTCATATTATCATCATGTGTAGATGATAATGTGATCTAATTCGTCACCTTTTACTATTTAAACTATCGATAACTTGTACAGGTTTTATTTTCTGAAAGAAGAGATTTCCAAGAAGTCTCGAAACATCAGAAATTTATTTTATACTTCATTGAGATTTATCTTCCTGGTACTTTGAAATAAGGCAAATTCATAAGCACTCATAATGACTTTATACTGGATGATGATTGGAGGTGAGATGAAAATCTGGATCGCGGCCGGATTCTAACCCAGTACACTGAGTACAAATCCTAGCCTGCCAAAGTACGGCTATCTTAGTCAAATCACAAACAATATGATGCTCCCTTTTTAAAATTCAGTTAAATTTGGATTGAGATGAGATGTCCTGACTTGGCAGCCAGTTTGAATACGATCAAACGGTAGTAACACGTCACGAATTCATATGGTAGTCGGGCAAAATCCTTGGTGATTGCAGACTATTAAGGTATAGGGAAAAGCGATGTTTTTGAATTCAGACATTCGTCACGTATTTCTGTTCGTTTATTATTTTATCACTGAGTACGTACAGTAAAATCTACTCGAAAATAAGATGAAAATTGACCTGGTCAGCAGATGTAAGTCTAAGACATGATAATATTTACCAATGCTTGTCGTTTCCTGCTGATTATTACTCTGAGTCGAATCGATCAGTCACTTTTGGCATATTTTCTAATTCGATGGATGTCTACATGTTACATAAATGTTTCCTTTGATGCTGCTTGTTTGATGATGGGTTGTAGTAGAATAAAGGACATCGGCTTAGTCTTTCTTAGGACCCACTAGTTAGCTCAGTGTACCTACTTTCCAGTGTCCGATGGTTTTTTCCACTAAGAAACTGTTAAGTTCGATCCAAACAGCAACAGGAAATACATAACAAATGATACTCGTTGTACAAAGGGTGACTCTTGTAACTCAGTATCTAGCTAGCGAGTTAGTCGCAAAGCGTACGAAATGCGCGTCCTGTATTTCAGTGCTAGTTACCATCAAACACACAAAGTCGGTAACATCTACGGTTTATACATTATAGAAGAATATTCCATTTGAAATTGACTTCGTGATCTTCTGATTCAGGTTGATGGCTTGTGAAAAAGAAAAGACAATGATAACAAAAACTTACCATGATGATAATAATTTTAAATCTACCAATCGCTCCAATTATTCCCATCAAAGAAATCACCAGTAGTATAATGCCAAGAATAAATATGTATATACTGAATTTAGCTGAAGAGAAGATCAAATGAGCAAAAGTTGGAAAGATGATAGCAAATTAAACTTTGATCATTTCAACTATTCAACTTGAAGTTTTTCATGGTAAGAGTAATTTTTTAGTTACCTTCCTCCTTACGTTTAGGTTTTCATTGAACAATTACCGTGTCTTTGGCATTCCCAAGATTCTTTACCGCTTCTGTTTCATTGTTTTCTGTCAGTTGAGTGTTAATAACACTTAGTAATAGTATTGCTTGTTTGTCGACAGTAACTTTTAAATGTAAGAGTCAAATATGTTTTATTTATATTACTGAAATCTACGACCCGACTCGGATTCGTTATGTGGACAACACTTTTGTCATCATTGAAAATGATCATGTGGAAAACACTCACAGTTTGATCAGTAACGTTCTCAATGACATCAAATTCACAATGGAGAAAGAGTCAAACAACCAACTACCATTCCTGGATGTTATAGTCAGTAGGACAAATGGCGGAAAGCTGGAAACCCAATGTACAGGAAGCCAACAAACACCAACTGGTCAAATCCTCAACTACAATAGCAACAATCCAACAACACACAAAATCAGTTGCTTGCAGACTCTATTGTGAAGGGCGAGAACACTGCACAGCAGTACAACAACTTCACGGAGAACTGAAGAAAATTACCTGATGTTCGTCCATCTGAAAGAAGAACGGCTACCCAACAAACTTTATCACAAGATGCCTATCCCGTACATCATCAACTACAAAGTCATCGACACAAATCAACAAACGCGTCATCCCACCGTACACAAAGAATGTATCAGAAATCACAACAAGATTACTGAGAACACTTGGAATTGGTGTGACCATTCATAAACCAACAAATTCCCTCTAAACACTATTATGCAGACCAAACAGTGCAACAAGCAAAGAAGACAAACCGAATATCATTTACACAATCAACTGGAATAACTGTAGTCAACACTACATTGTACAAAGCGGCCGCCCTCTTCGCCTTCATGTACATGAACATCAATTGGCTATTAAGCGTCACACGGGATATTTCATCACTCATTTCAATGCACGTGGATATCAACTATGGACATGAATTCAATTTGATAATGTTGAGATCTTGGATAGAGAGAGGAAACATAGAGAATATGAGAGAATTTCTAGAAGCTTGGCATTCACATCAGTCAGTCAGTCAGTCAGTCAGCAATCAATAGATGTGTAGACATAGACCTAGTCTATCAAGCAATGAGAAAAATGATGAGGGACAGAAAGGTGAGAGGTCAATTAGTGGAGCAGCCAGCAGGAAAATCTATGCAGTCAGTTAATGACACAACGATCGAAGGAGACAAGCAATCACAGACCACATTGTCAGAACAAGCCAGTGAATCAGTGATGGAGAAATATTGACAGCTGACTTCATACTGAAGTTAGTGTTGATGATGTCGTCTAGAAGGACGATGAAATCATCACGATTAAACAATCCAGTTCAGAGAACACAATGCAACGAAGACCGTCTATCTGAGTCATTTCACTTCACTTATTCATCGCATCGCAAAAGCTTGATTGATAAACTCCCACCAGTGCTAATGACCACTAGCTTAACAGCTACATAGGTTACCCTCCGGTCAACGTATCGTATGAATGTGACAATTTTATGCTGAATTAGGAGTAATTTTAAAAAAAATGTGTTTAAAGGCGGTTTACACCGAACCGATAAATGTTTTCGCACTTACTTGGGGCACTTCAGCAAAGAAATAATGCTTCTAATGACATAATACATATGAATTCTGGGTTTATTAACTAATTTGCCAAGCTTGTGACACACTGATGGATTGTTATTTCCCTTTTTTTACTCTTCAGTACTCATCAGGTTTATCAAGAATAATGAAAAACATTCCACTCGAACAGGCTTAATAAAAAGACTTAATCCGGTATGTATACTTTTAGAATGTCTTTGCTTCTGTTCCACACGATTAGTATTTGTATTCTCTAATTTGAACATTTCCTCTACCCTCTTATTCGTTATCCTTGTTATGATTGGGAGACATGAGTACTTCAGTGTTACAGATAGGCTTTTAAATTTATATGTTTTTGCCGCTAAAGCCTAATGTATATAATGTAAAATTACTAGCCCAGAGTTGTTGTAGTCATGCAGCTGACCCCTTTTGGACATTTATGCTGCTGTAAGAGACGCAGGGTATTCCATTGTGTAATATCTTCAGATCGTCCTCAATAGTCAGACTCTTTAGACGTTATTCCAGTGTGAGTTAGCATGAGAGAGCGAAGCGACTGGAGAAGTCAGAAAACGAAGAGACTCCTGGTTAAGTGGACCCCATAGAGACCAACGTAACCAGAGTCATACTGGAAATCAAGTCTAACATAAAGGTACGATTTGAAGAAAATAATACAGGAATATACCATCCCCCATTAAACATACAATTGAGAGTTGGAATACAATGATTTCAGTGCATGTTTGATTCACTCATCCAAACCATATCTTAAACTTTCCTATTATTCAGTGAGTTTTAATGTTGAATTGATAATTGAGCATAGCTAATATTACTGATGATATACAACTCTTTTCAAAGTGTAGGTTATCAATGATAGTTGAATACGTAGCAGAGGTTTTTATTACCTCATTTCTTGAAATATTGGTTTAGATATCATCTATGAACAGGCGTTCTATCTTCAGTCACATAGAATAACGTCTCTCCAGCTCTCTTCCAACACAGTATTTCTATACTCCTACTTCTCATTACTGTAAACTTCCGGATTTTGTATTATGTTGATGAATGGGATGCAGTTCACTAAACAATGGATTAACAACAGGCATCTGTCAATCAAAATTAGAAATTAGAAGATATTCCCATTAAAAATTATATTATTGCAAACTTTTGACCTCTGCAGAGACTAAAGGATACGCTAGATTCAAAATTACTACCGGAACAGGCTGGCTTCAGTAAGAACAAATCATGTGGAGATCAAATTGCAATGCTACGCATCATCATAGAACAGAGTATAGAATGGCAGTCAACCCTCTACCAAGACTTTATTGACTTTGAAAAGGCCTTTGACAGCCTCAATGAAGAAGCATTTTGGCAGTTGCTTCAACACTGCGGAGTGCCACAAATCTTTATCAACCTCATTCAACAGTTATATGAAGACGCTACATACCAAGTGATTCACAATGAAAAGCCTTTGAAGTGAAGACAGGTTGAGATGTAAGACAAGTTTGCTTAATATCATTGATGATCTTCCTGGTTGTGGTTGACTGGATCATGCAACAAACCGAGAGGAGCGAGAAGATGGACATAAGCTGTTTGACCGATGAGAAGACTTTAGAAGATTTGGATTCCGCTCATGATTATTCATGTTTAATGTCGCACAAACTCGAAGATCCACAGGCGAAAACTAACATGTTGACAGAAGAGACAAGGCAGTGAAAACGGGACTTGAAGTGAACGTAGACAGGATAGAGGTGATGAAGATACCCAATCAACAACAGCATCAACAACAAGAGGCACCAACCACCATGAGTGAGAGAAACCTAAAGGAATTAATCTCTTTCACCTACCTACCCACCTAGGCAGCATCGTTTCAACTACAGGCGGCATAGACTAGGATGCTAAAGCTAGAATCGGTAAGACAGCAAGATAGGCCATCATTAATCTGAAATGACTATGGAGATCTACGGCACTTAACATAAAGCGTGAATATGATCCAGATTTTCAACACTAATGTCAAGTCAGTGCCTCTATATGGTTCTGAGACTTGGTGTGTCATGGAAAGCATTTCCAACAAACTGCAGATATTCATCAACAGCTGCCACCTACTCTCACTCCATACTGAAGATCAGATGAGATGGCCAGAAAGAATAATTAACAAGAAACTTTGAGAATGAATCAACGAAGCAAGAACCCATCACCCAACAAATATGCAGGAGAAGGAAGTGGAGATGGATTGGGCATACACTGAGAAGGCCGACTGGGAACATCACACGCCAGTTCAGGCCCTCGAGTGGAATCCAAAGAGGAAACGATGAATTGGGTGTGCGAGGTGAGGGTTACATGGAGATGATGTGAGGAAGCAATGAAAGTATGTGGGCAGTGGCGGAGCGAGGTTCAAAAGACTGCAGAACATAGAGTGGAATGGAGGTGTATGTTCCACTAGGAACCCAAGAGAATAATAACAATACTTTTAACCGATATTTTAAACGTAGTAAAAGTTTTTCGTTCTAGTCCAGTAATGTGAAAGTTAGTATAGAATCAAAAATGACCTGTAGACTACAGATTTTTGTAGATATCCATATGTACATTACTCACCAGTAAAATTTGTAACATATTTTGCAAGGTTATTCAAATAACTTTCATCAAGTTGTATATGTTTCTGAAGTAGTTCAAGGAAACTGCCGACAATTTTCAACCCAATTGGTTTAGACCAAGTGAAAAGTGCACCAATAATAATGTATACCAGAGCAAATAACTAGACGGAGGTAAAGACTGATTAGAAGTTGATTCACAGTACATCTATATATGTAAAGTAAATAAATTATGCCTAAAAATTACTGACATAAAAAAAATCTGTCTTTTACAGCTCAAATAATAGACCTTTGAAGTAGCTTTCATCTCAGACTGGAGTTGGCTAAAGAACCGTTGAAGAACTTTCAGGCAGTAGATAGCTGGTTCACTGAAGTTTGCGAATGCTAAAGGGAGTTCATGCCCGATACTGGGAGGATATAATCTCATGACTATTGGAGAGCATAGTTCTTGCTATATCAATCTGTGACGAAACCAGCTGAATCAAACAATTCACCAACTGAATAAGTTAACATTCAGTCGATTCGTTTCTTGATAAATCGTCTCATTTAGCGGCAGGATAGAACGATTTAACACCTCTTTACCTTGACTGGTATTAATTAGTTTCAGGTAATCGACAAAAAGTCCTTGACCGAGGCTTTAAGCT